TTTTCACCAGGAAATACATTTGAGTATTAATTTGAAGAATTTTAGTTATTCCTCCTGTCAGAGTTACTAGGACATGTTTTTCTGGTAATAAACAGGGCAACCAGTGAGTGTGTGTGTGTGTTAGTGTTTGCAAACACATACATATATATTTATATACATATGCTCCCTGATTGTATAAAATTCATCTGTGAAAAGATATGAAAGTCTGTCTAGAAAGAATGTGAGGATGAGACCATCCTTTTTGACTTTTGTTCAGGAGTTTATCTATTTCACCAGAGGGATGAAGATGCAGGAGGCTGAGGCTGAATAGAACAGGTGTGGGGGGGTGTTTGTATCTGTAAATATCACATTACTGTTTACAGTACATTAGTCTGTCTTCATTCAGGGCCTTGTACAAGCCAAACCAGGAGGAATTGTTCCCGTGCTTACAGCCAAGAACAACATCCTGACCAGCAGGGGGACAGAGGTCAGCTTAAGGCAACAGCTCTTGGGAGGGAGCTGCAGGACATTAAGAACTTTGGAGGAAATGAGTTTGTTAAAAGAAGACATAATGTAGAAAAGAACACTTGATCTTAGCCAAAGGCTAAGAAGTGATGTATTTTTTGGTATTTAAAATACTCGCAGTCATAGGAGCAGAGAATAGAATGGTGGGCACCAGAACTGGAAGGTAAGGAGATAGATCTTCTGCATACGTAATTAGAGTTAATAGTAAGGTGTTGTATATTTTAAAATTGCTAAGAACATATTTCAAGTGTTTACATCAGAATAAAATAATTATTTCAGTTAATAGATAGGTAATTTGATTTAATCATTCTACACTATATGAGTATGTATGTATAATAACACCATACTATTCCCCATAAATATATCATTCATTTTTCAGTACATATGAAAACAATACAAATTAAAAAACATGAAAGATTGTCTATGCAATGAGTTAAAAAAGCCCTGGGTATGATGGCTCATGCCTTTAATCCCATCACTCAGTGGGCAAAAGCAGGTGGATCTATATGAATTCAAAGTCAACCTGGTCTCCAAAGAGTTCCAAGCCAGCCAGGAGTCCTAGTGAGACTACGTCTCAAAAATGAAAAAAGGAAAAACAGGCAAGATGTACTTTGAAGGAAGTATATGAAACTTGTGTGAAACTACCATTCTGGCTGGCCTATTATTTGCTATGTAGATCAGGCTGGCCTGGAACTTATGAAGATACTTCTGCCTCTGACTCCTGAGCACTGGTATTGTGGATGTGAGACGTTATATCTGGCTTTGTTTTGTAACAGTTGCCAGATATCCTGCCTATCAGATAATTACATGAATTACAATTCATAACAGTAGCAAAATTACAGGTAATGAAGCAGCAATGAAATAATTTTGTGGTTGGGGGTCACTACAACATGAGGAACTGTATTAAAGGGGGCTATAGCATTAGGAAGGTTGAAAACCACTGTTCTAGAGGGAGGTTTCTTAAGGCTGAAGAAGTTTTAAGTTCTAAGTTGAAATATTCCTTCCTGGAAGGAGAAGAGGTTCACAAGACTCAGGAAGTAAATAACTCACATGTCTCAAGAAGTTCTTGAAACTAACAATATGCACAGAAACCTTTCCTCCCTTTTCTACCTCATAGAAGCAGGAACAATTGCTACAGCTAAGGGAGGATGCAGAGCTGGGCAGTGGTAGCCCACGCCTTTACTCCCAGCCACTTGGGAGGCAGAGGCAGGTGGATTTCTTTGCTTTTGAGGCCAGTCTGGTCTACAGAGTGAGTCCAGGACAGCCAGGGCTATACAGTGAAACCCTGTCTCGAAAACCAAAACAACCAAACCAAAACAAACAACAAAAAGGGAGGAAGCAGAGCTTCCTGGAGGAAGCTTTCTGGCCTATTGTGCTGCATGAAAGTTGTGCACAGAGTTCTGGGGATACAGCATTTCAGTTACCACCCAGGTGGAGGTGGATACCGCTGCCTTTGAATTAATTCTGTGACTAATCTCTATAAAATCATGGGCTTACCAAATTGAACTTTTTTAGTGTGCAGTTTTCTATTTGTTTGTTTATTACAATTTATTCACTTTGTATCCCTGCTGCAGCCCCCTCCCTCATCTCTTCCCAGTCCCACCCATCCTCTCCTCCCCCTATGCTCCTTCCCTAATCCACTGATAGGGGAGGCACTTCTCCCCTTCCATCTGCCCCTAGCCTGTCGGTGGCTCTCATCAGGGCTGGCCGCATTGTCTTCCTCTGTGGCCTGGTAAGGCTGCACCCCACAGAGGTTGGTGATCAAAGAGTTGGCAACTAACGAAATTGAATTTTTGTTTAGTTGTCACTTTCATCCATAGTTGGTCACTCACCTGGGCTAAGTGGACATTTGGTTGTCGTCCCTGCAGTGTCAGGTAACAGGCTCCTAGAGCCTAGTTTATCACAGTGAGGGGTCACCTTGCACCCTCTGATCATTCAGATTTCCCCTTTCTATGTTTGACACGTTTTTACAGCAAGCAGTGAGAAAGGTGTATTCTCTTACTCTAGTGTTTTATTTACAAACAACATCAGAAGTCCATTATAATATTAGATTTAAAAAGTGATGTGTTAAACTGTGTGTGACTGAACACAGCTTTAATCCCAGCATTTGGGATGCAGAGTTAGGAGGATCTCTGAGTTCCATTTCATCCTTGTCTACAAGGATGAGCTCCAGGCTGCCAGAGCTACACAGTGAGACCTTTTCAAGAAAAGAGTAAAAAGGGATATGTTCAATAAAAAGCACACTCCATTTGAAAAGTTGTTGGGGTCCTTCCTGACTGACCCGGGCTTTGTTTGCATCTGTGCCTGCTTTTCTTTTTTTCATCATTCTGATGCTTGCCACTCGCTCTGCAGATAGAACTCAAGTGGTTTTCTTGGGGAGCATTCTTGTTGTGTTGTCTTCTCCTAGACTCAGTTCTGTGGTCTGGTTTCAGCCACTTGTAGGACAGTGTGGTCATCTGAAAGCTTTTCTTGATGGTCAGTTTTTTGACTCCTTTCATGCCCTGTGCTTGGTTAGTTTTCTGTTTCTCTTTCTGAAGTGATATGTTAAATCTCCTCAATTGCAAGGCTCAAAAACTCGACTGCGCTCCAGGCCTTGGACTTTCCCCTGGTTTATAAACATGCTTTGTGCTTTCCTAGAAAATTGGGGATGAATCAGGTGCTGTGTTGTAAGGTATTCTGATCCTCCTGGGATTCTAGTTTGATAGTTGTTTAAACAGTATGTAGCAATTTGGAGTGGATTTGCAAGAGAGGACTGTTGCCAAGTCTCTGAAGTAGGTCATAGCCTTCCCCCTTGTTTTGTTTTTGTTTGTTTGACAAGGTCTCATATGGCCCAGGCTTGCCTTGACTATAGAGCCTAGGATGGCTTTAAACTCCTGATCCTCCTGCCTCTTTTCCCCAAATTCAGGTTTTTCGGATATGTGCCCCACACCCAAGTTTCCTTTTCTTTCCTAGCTTTCCCCTTTCCTTCCCTTCTTTTTGAAATGGTATTTCTCTGTATGTAGCCCTTAGTCTAGCTATGTAGACCAGGGTGGCCTAGAACTTGGGGCCAATTCTTCTGCTTTTTTTTTTTTTCATCATTCGTTTTTTTGTTTGTTTGTATCGTTTTGTTTTTGATACAGTGTTTTTCTGTGTATCCCTGGCTCTCCTGAAACTTATTCTATAAACAAGTAGACCAGGTTGACCTTAAACTCAGAGAACCACCAGCCTCTACCACCCAAGTGCTGGGATTAAAGGCGTGTACCACCACTGCCTGGCCCTTTCTTTGCTTCTTCAGTGATGAAATTGCAGGCATGTATAACCCTTATTTTTATTTCTTTCTTTTCCCCTGTATCTTGAGGCAGAGTCTCTATTATATACTCCTGCCTGTCCTGCTTGATATATTGAACAGAATGGCCTCAAACTCCCAAAGATCTACCACCTCTATGTTGGGATTAAAGACATGTGCCACCATGCCTGGTCCCTCCATATTTTTCAACTGAAAAATTAGTGAAGAGAGATTTCCCCAGTGATAGTCACATAATAGGTTGGACCCCATACCTATGAAGCAGCTTCAGTTTTATATTTTTCCGTGCCTTAATATGAGTAGATACATCTTGGTTTTTTGAGACAAGGTCTCACTATGTAGCTATGACTGTCCAGGAACTCACTGTAGATCATGCTGGCTTCAAACTCATAGAGACCCTCCTGCCTTTCTTTGCCTACTGAGTGTTTTGATTAAAGGCATGTGTCACTATGCCCAGCTGAGTAGATACATCATAACTGTGAGTTGATTGACCATTTAACTATATATATATGTGTGTGTATATACATGCATGCATACATACATAATATATATTTAACCATATGGGTATAGTTAAAATTTAAAAATTTCATTGTTTTCTGGCCTAATAGTTAAGAAAAGTTTCTAAATGGTTAGAATAGCAATGCAGAAATCTTTTAGCTACTCAGAATATATTCAATTTAAATAGTTCTAAAATGAAGAAATAGAAAGAAGCCGGGAGTACTGATGGACTTTTAGGAGGGTTCATTATTTCTTTGTGCGTCCTAATCCTGTGTCATCTTTGTGAACTGAGTTATACCCTAGAAAGTAAAGAATAAAATTATATACATTTTAACTCTTAAATTTTTTCTAAAATTAAATTTTTAAGTTACTTTTATTTAAAAACTATATAAATAAATAACAAAATTACTTTTATTTTCTTGTATTGTGCATGCATGCACAGTCATGCATGTGGAGTTCAGAGGACAATTTGCAGGGATGTGTTCTTCTGCTGCTATGTGGGACCCCTGGCAATTGAACTAGTGTAAGGTGCTTTTACCTGTTGAGTCATCTTTCTAGCTGCCCCTCTCCTCCTCTTTCTCATGTTACCCAGACTGGCCTAAAACTTGCTGTGTAACTGAGTCTTGTTTGGCGAATAAATAATTTTTGCCTGCTTGGTCCTTTTGTTTCTAAAATATGTTTTCTTTTTACTAATTGTTTTCACTTTGTTAAACAGGCTACCAAGCAGTTTCTTGAAGAGATCAACAAGTGGACAGTTCAGTACAATGTTTCTCCACTGTCTTGGAACGTGGCTGTCAAGTTCCTCATGGCCAGAAAGTTTGATGTGCTACGCGCCATAGAGTTGTTTCACTGCTACAGAGTATGTGGCTCAGTGCTAGCTAACTTGTTTTGTTTGCTTTTGCGTTACTTCATACACAATTGATTTGCTAGTTCTTGTTCATTCTGAATATTGGATAAGCTGATTCATGAGATAAGTGTGAGCTAATTCCAGGACTTGTTTGTTATCTCAGGACCTTTTTGTTTGTTTGTTGAGACAGAGTTTTGCTGCATAACCTTAGCTGTCTGTTGTCCTGGAACTTAACAATATCAACAGTCATAATTGTTACTTAGGAGAGAGAGTTAACGCAGTTAGACACATTTTAATTAGGATGGTAGTACTAGGGAAGGACACTGAGCTATCCTAGCAACAGAAGTGTTCCTAAAGACTTCCAGTTGGGAAAGTGGTGCACTCCTTTGATCCTAGCACTCAGGAGGCAGAGGCAGGTGGGTTTCTATGAGTTTGAGGCCAAGCCAACTATGTAGAGAGGTCTAAGCTAGCCAAGGCTGCAGAGTGATACCCTGTTTCACACACACAAAGAAAAGGGCTACTAACCTTGAATCTGATGGATGAATAGGAAAAAGTACTGGTAAAATGTGGTAAGGAAGACAATAAGGTCTGGCTGGAAAGATAGCTCAGCTATTAAACACTAGCTTTACAACCAAAAAATACAAGAAATATGTAAGTTCAGAGGCCCAGTGGTGGAAAGTAAAATTTAGTTAAGCCAGACTGTTGAGTTAGAATCAAGGCATGTTAAGAGATTGAGAGCACAGATAAAAAAGACCAAATCACTAAGGCCCCATACATTTATTTATGATATAAGCAATGTGATAAATTTTTCCATATTTGCATTCTAGTAAAATTTTGACACAGTAATTTTTGGAGAATATCTTAGTGATTATCCTGGAGCCAGAAAGAGCAGTTTGGAGACTGTTGTACTCACAAGGAAAGAGAATGGCAGTATTACTAAGTACATAATGTCAGAGGAGATGGAGAAAAGTAGACAGATTCTAAAGTTCAAATGGGTTTGAGCTGCTTAAATTGGTGTGTGAGGAAAATGCGTGAGATACTCTGGGTTGCTACTTGTGTCAAGCTCTGTGCTGGTAGCATTCTCTAATTTAGGAGACACTGAAGTGGGGTGGGTTCATGTGGAAAGAAGGGCATTCATTTAATTTGTATATGCCGTTGGGATAGCCAAATAGACATGTCAAATAAGCAATCTGAAATCTGATGTAAGGTATAGAAAATAAATCTGCACTAGAAATAAATACTTCTGAATGACCAAACTAGAGCTGATAAGGTAGCTGTGGACAGGAATTTTGCTAACAGATCACTGCCCTGGGATGTACAGAGGAATTCATAATTTACCTAGTTGATTTCTAATGTCCCTTAGCTCTGAGATGGCTACATTAAGTTGTTCTGGATATCTTGTATTTTCATATGAATTCATATCTTTATTGTTTCCTTTTTAGGAAACAAGAAGAAAGGAAGGCATTGTGAAGCTGAAACCTCATGAGGAACCTCTCCGCTCTGAGATTCTCAGTGGAAAGTTTACCATCTTGGTGTGTCTTGAGCCTATCTTGGCTTGGTTACTTCCTATTGTAGCTGTTGTCCTAATTGGATTTTTGTGCCTCGGTTTCTGATCAACACTTTTTGCTACTAAATTATTCTAATAATAATTGGGTTATTACTGATTAAAATTATTAGTCATTAATAATAGTTGAATTATTGAGTTATGGAGCAATAGACTTAAAATTTTTTTCTCCACTGATTCATCAAAGTTGTTGGTCAGCATTTTGGGAAAAGTTGATAATGTGTCAGAACACATCCTTACTTAATGGAAACTCTACTCATTAGAGATCTCTTGGCCTCTCAGATAAATATGTTCTAATATGGTTAAGGTAGCATGGAAACCATTATCTTGATCTGCTTCTCTCCATCCTGCCTGGGAAATTAGTTACAAAGCCAATGAGGAATCAACCTTTGATTTCTCTGCAGTTGAAGAAAATGTGACTTTCTTTTTAAGCCACAGTAATATGGTTCATGGGAATGCTAAGAGAATCAGGTGTGGGATAATGATAACAGGTCTCCCTTTCTGGGAGAATGGATGCAAAACAAGGAAGTTCTGTTGGGAGCAGCTCTCTTCATGTGTCAAATCTTTATCCAGGATAATAAGTCTAAAAGATTGCTGCAATTTTTTTTTTTTTTTTCTCTAAAGACTTCTTGATTTATTTCCCTTAGAATGTTCGAGACCCAACTGGAGCCTCCATTGCCCTTTTCACTGCCAGGTTACATCATCCTCACAAGTCTGTCCAACATGTGGTACTGCAGGCCTTGTTTTACTTGCTAGACAGAGCCGTGGACAGGTAAGCAGTAAGATTATTTTGTGGCTATCTCTCTCATTTAGGAAAGTGACAGTTTTTGAATTGATTAAACTGAGAAGTGCTCTCAGCGTTTCCCTGGGATGCAGCCTGGCCAGTCTATAGGCAGAGAACAGCTCATGTTTTAGGAGATTGTGTGTTTCTAGTGTAACCAGGATGCTGGGTGTTCTTTGTCTGCATCACCGTGCCTATGTTAGCACTAACAGAAGCTGAGAAAGACAATTCCTAACAGTTACTAATATATTAGAATGATTTATTTGAAGAAAGTGAGGAAGAAAGGAGCTCTGTTGATTCCTTTTGTGTGTGTGTGTGTGTGTGTGTGTGTGTGTGTGTGTGTTGGTATAGGGCCTCTACATGCTAATATAGGGCATAAACTCTATCATTAGCCTATATCCTAATTTCTCTCTTTTTAAACCTTTACCGTTGAGGTGCAGTCTTAGTTAACTAAGCTGGTCTTGAAATCATTCTATAGCTAGGCCAGATATAAATTTATATTTTCCTGCCTCAGCATCTCAAAAAGCAGAGATTACAGGCCTGGATCACTAGGTCCAGGTCATCTGTGTGTTAGTTCTGTTCATGTTAAAACCCTCTGGGGCAAGACAGTGTTGGCACACGCCTTTAATCCCACCACTTGGGAGGCAGAGGCAAGTGAATCTCTGAGTTCAGGAGGCTAGCCTGGTCTGCAGATTATGGTTCAGGACAGCCAGCAGGACTATACAGAAAAACACTGTCTCAAAAATAAAAAATGAACACAAAACCCAACAAAAACAAACACAATCCCTCTGAAGGCTAGAGAATAATGGCTCAGAAATTAATAGCACTGGATGTTCTTCCAGGGGACCCAGGTCTGGTTCCTAACATCTATATGGTAGCTCCATATAGATGTTTTATAACTCCAGTCCGAGGAGATCCACTGCCTGCTTCTAGCTTCCAGTGGCATCAGGCATGCCCATTGTTCACAGATATACTTGCAGGCAAAACACTCAAACACATAAAATAAAATAAATTTAAAAAACCCATCCCTCTGAGACAAACTGGGGGTATGGTAGGGTAAGTGCTTAGCTAGCATGTGTAAGACCCCAGGTTCTTTCTCTAGTATTGAAAAACAGAGATAAAACAAATTTGAGGTTTGCTGATCTGGGAGCTGGAGTTTTTCTGCCACAGTGGTAGAGCAGTAGACAAGCTCTCTACCACTGAGGCAGAAAACTCCAGCTCCCAGATCAGCAAACCTCAAATTTGTGGTGATCCTTCTGAGTGCTAAGACTGCAGGTGACACGAGGTCTAGCTTGTTTTATCTTTGTTTTTCAATGAGCAACTTGATATAGGACTGTAGAACCTGGATCATTATGCCCTGTAGTTCATCTTCATTACATTTCTTTCTCTTGTCACTGACTTTTTTAGGCCCCTATCTTAGAAGAAAACCTGTAATTCTTTTAATTGGCATGTAAGGATCTAGCTTAGCTTTGAATAAAACCTTTGTATTGAATTAAATGCTTTGTTTAATGATTGGTTTACAGCTTTGAAACTCAAAGAAATGGACTGGTGTTCATCTATGACATGTGTGGTTCTAATTATGCCAACTTTGAGCTGGATCTTGGCAAGAAAGTCCTAAACCTGCTGAAGGTAAGGTTGTAAAGGGGGAATCCTTCTAAGTATTTATTATTATTATTATTATTATTATTATTATTATTATTATTATTATT